ACACACACACACACACACACACACACACACACACACACACACACACACACACACACACACACACACACACACACACACACACACACACACACACACACACACACACACACACACACACACACACACACACACACACACACACACACACACACACACACACACACACACACACACACACACACACACACACACACACACACACACACACACACACACACACACACACACACACACACACACACACACACACACACACACACACACACACACACACACACACACACACACACACACACACACACACACACACACACACACACACACACACACACACACACACACACACACACACACACACACACACACACACACACACACACACACACACACACACACACACACACACACACACACACACACACACACACACACACACACACACACACACACACACACACACACACACACACACACACACACACACACACACACACACACACACACACACACACACACACACACACACACACACACACACACACACACACACACACACACACACACACACACACACACACACACACACACACACACACACACACACACACACACACACACACACACACACACACACACACACACACACACACACACACACACACACACACACACACACACACACACACACACACACACACACACACACACACACACACACACACACACACACACACACACACACACACACACACACACACACACACACACACACACACACACACACACACACACACACACACACACACACACACACACACACACACACACACACACACACACACACACACACACACACACACACACACACACACACACACACACACACACACATATATATATATATATATATATGTGTGTCTGTGTGGCGCGGTTGGTTTGTCGTCGGCCTTCTGAGCCCAAGTCTGCGGGTTCGATCTCCGGCCCAGACACCGGATTTTCGGGATGCAGAAAATCCTCAGCGGCCATTTCCAATGAGCTGCACATCGGCGAGACCGATTGTGCAGCTCATTGGAAATATATATATAATATCCCGTTTTACAGGAAAAACACGTTCATGCACGATCCAACCATTCGCGGATCGAAATTTTGACCTGAACCAGTGCACAAACTATCTCCAATCCATTACCTTCAGTCGTGTTGTTGGATTTATTTGTTGTGGTAACTTGGAGAACTTTGTGAACCCGACAGAATTAGGGTGCACCAGTTACCATTTTGTACACGGTATGTCTCTGGCCGGCGGATATCGAACTCACGATCTATCGCATATGGGCCCAACGAGCAATACTAGCCAGGCTATCCCGGCCCCGATATATACAAGATAAAATATTATGAATAGGTAGATAATTTCTGAATTTTAGCTATACTACTTAATATTTTTAGAAATTACTTCAGTTGCACGATTTTAGATCTAAAAGTAGAATTTGTAAAATTTATATTTTTAAACTTCTTTGAAGAACATGAATATATTTTTTCTCCGAGCTTTACTTAACGAAATATTAAATAATGATTAATCAATTAAAATTGAATAAAATAATAATACATAAAATAATAATGCATTAATTAACGCCCGGTGGCTGAGCTGTAGCGCTTCGCGATATCGTGCCACAGGTCCCTGGTTCGATCCTCGGGCCGGGCAAGGTTGACTCAGCCTTTCATACCTTCAGTGGGTCCATAAATGAGTACCAAGCATGCTTGGGAACTAAACATTGGGGGTTCCGCGTTCGGCTGACCACCTAACCGGAACATCTGCTTCTGCACCCCAGAGCCCAAGGTCAAGAAAACTGAGATGGGCACAGTAGGCCTTGGCTCTCTAGGGCTGTCGCGCCGCTGAGTTTAGTTTAGTTTAAATATTAAATAATGATTAATCAATTAAAATTGAATAAAATAATAATACATAAAATAATAATACATTAATTAATAATAAATAAAGTAAAAAGATGCAATAAATGATTTTTGATGAAAGATCATTTTTTGAGCAAAAAATACGTTTAGAGTCTGATGTCTAATTGATCAAAGTAAAGTGACCATACAAATATAAGTTGTCAAAAAGTAAAAAATTTAATTTACATCCTTATAAGTAAAACAATCAGCTGAAATTAGATCTTGTTATTTATCTATCATTTATTTCTCAAATTTCAATGCAACAATTCTGAGAGTTGGAAGGGGAAAAACACTTATTCGAAGTTTAGTAACTCTCTTATACAATGTTTCTGAAATGAATCTTTTCTTTAAATCACAATTAAAATTTCCATTAATTTGTCTAATGAAATTGAGGTAATTAGAAATTACTTTACGTCTGGTTAACAATTTTTTTTTTGTAAATTACCAGCTAATCGATAAATGTAAGATTTTTTTCCTCCGATAATTTTATCGTTAAAACAACTTTTATTGATTAAATTTGATTAGCGTCCTCTAGTTAAATTGAATCAGACATCATTTTTCAAATTTCCGCTAAATTAGTTTCAAACAATTATAACTGGTTTTTACTGCGCTCAGCTATTTAAATAGAGTTCGTAGGAATGTAAGAGTATAAAGAATTGAAGAAGTTGAATGAATTTAAATTGATATCCCTGCACAGTTTACGTGAACAAAATTGAATAGGTATTTTAGAGTAGAATAATAACGAACAGTGTAGAATTGAGAGAAAATTGTTAATTAAAGAGTTTCAACTATTTATGTTATTTAGTGGTATAACTTATTGTTTGCTTGATTAAATTATAAATCTTTGGTAGTTAAGTACTTTATTTTTCGTCGCACTAGAACTGCACAATGAACTTTAAGTGACAGTCTGAATTATCCGAAGACATGCCATCGCAATTTTAATCCTCAGCAGAAGGGATGGCTCTCCTGATTTGGTAGCCCGAAGAACTAGCCGGTAGAACAGTTTAACGAGGATCAATACCGCACACCCTCGGTCCCTACGCAAACTGATCCAAGTGGTCACCCACCCGCTTACTGAACGTAGCCAGTGATGCTTGACTTCGGTGTTCTTCTAGGAACCGTGTCTTTACTATCAGTACACTGCAGGGCTACAGATATAAGGATAGCTATAGTGTGTCTACGGTTAGTACTCCCCCCACTAAGTCTGAGGCCCCCTGCTGCTATGGAAACAAGAATAGCGCATTTCAAGGAGGGTGGCTTCTCTTCTTTCTAGGGCTAACACAATAGACCAGGGAAATCTTCATCAAGCCCACCCCAGCCAAAACTTGTCCTAAACAGTGACCCTACACCCCTATACTTGAAGTAGTTATACCTCGTTACCATAGTCACTGGTCCGGACGAATGGCTAGTGGAGTTCTTAATTTAGATGAGCTGTACTGTGGTTACTGTGGGCAAACTGTGTCTCGATCAACCAAAATGCGTAAATACCGGAAATTTTTTTAAATATGGTAAGTTTTAGCTTTCGGGAGTTGACTTCGAACAATAAGCATCATGCCATATGACACTTAATTTATAGTTAATCTTTATTTTGATGGAATGAACTTTCAAAAACGCGTTTTATTTAATCTAATAACGTAAAGCCACCGGAACAGCAACAAATAATAAATAAACAACAACAGTTTTAGCTTAACTATTTGTGTCGATGTATGCCTTTCAGTTTTTTTTCTCACGATTTTGTACTATTGATCAACAGCGATTTATTGTTTTTTTAATTTTTTTCTTCACTCCAGAGAAACAACGAGTAATCAGTTAGTCAAAAATGAGATACAATACGATTCATACGCGAACTTTAAATGCTTTTATCAATAATTATATCTATTTTTATTTTATAGCCAAAAATTACTTTGATGCAGTTGAATACAATTAATCTAGTTTGCTTTGTTTGAGTTTAAAGATTTATTTTGCACTTAAAATCTGGAAAAATATTAAAATAATCAAAATATAGACGATATTTTTTCAAGCATTCAATTTCAAATTATTTTAATAATTTTTGGTTGAAAGATGCTTCGTAATTATTCATGATAAATAGAATTATTTATAGAGACTCATTATTATTAAAAGCTATGATTTTTTACTGTTTTACTAGGGACGGGAAATCATGTACAAGGTAAAAACTTGCTGAAAACCAATTTATTAACTCTTGATCGTTTTCTCTAGAAAAGCACAAGGAATTAATGGTTAAATAACCATTTGAGCAACTAAGATTTCAAATATGTTAATTGATTTTAAATATGAAATGCGAAATAAATTGAATCATAATTGGATGCAGATAATAGTCATAGTAGTTTATCGTGATGCATGCATATCAATGAACTCTAAATGAATATCTATGAATCCTAGCTTCCCCATTACAAAGTATGGTTTTTAAGTCCAGGTCAAGTTGAAGAACTGATAGCACAATTTAAACATCATTTCGCAAAGATATATACAGGGTTGTGGCGAGATTCGAAATCGCTACCTTCACGTTTGGAGGCATGACGAGATTTCTCGGCCAAGGTATTTATTAGTAGACATACACGCAATTCAGCTATATACGTACGGCTCATAAGCCTATGTCAAGTACTTTTGTGGAGGACTTTTTGATGGAACTAATTCACATAGGGACTCCATGATCCGCCTGCCACTGAGGGTATTTTACGTCGGCACTGTGATCGGTGCGAGCCGCGGGAAGAATTCGAATCAACCAGCTGACACTGGGATCGAACCTAGGTCACCTCGTTGGAAGGCGAGAGTGCTATCCCCTAAGCCGCGGAGGCTCAGATAGCAAGAGAAAGGCTTATCACACTAGGACGAGATACAAAACCGTTTTCTCCACGAGACAGAGCATTTGGTAAAACTTAGAGACCACTCGGCCACATAGCCGAATGTAATATAATAAAGCACTATTTTTCTATCTTATTAAACAATAATCTAGTAAAAGATTATGAATGTATTATTATTTATCATCATGGTTTTTTTTTTTTTTTGCTGTCAGTTGTGAATTTATTCTGACAAGCCTTCACCCTGTTAAATGTAGACGTAAAGCTCAGTTAGAAGTAGAACTTGACTGTTTTCTTAAGGAGGAAATCAGTTTTTCTTTTTGTCACCCAATGAGAAAACATCAGTTACTGAGATAGACTGACTTAGAGGCAAGGGTACACATTGGACTGATCGTAAGACATGATTTTCAATAGATCACCGAAGTCATGCATCACTGGCAGTGGTTTGCAAACGAGTGGGTCACTAATTTGATTGACCAAATTGGTCAACCGAGGAAGCACGTTATCGAACCTTCTTTAAACTGTTCTACTGTAAGAGCTTGGATTCACGCTCAGGACGTTGGGCTACCAAAGCAGAGGATCAAAAATGCGATGGTATGTCATCGGATTCTCCTCAGGATTGTTTCCCAGACCGACGCCAATAGCCCATTGTGCAGCTCTAGTGAGACGTAAATAAAGTACCTACCTACCTAAACTTTCTGGCGTTCTTAAAAACAGTTGAAATGTTCAACAGACTGCTGATGAAAAGATTAATCTAGAAGTTAAAAAGATTATATTTTATTTATTCACATATTTATGCCGGCGTGTGAACTAAATTCAAACAAACGCTTATAAACCATTTTAATTGGAAAAAAGCTCAAAAATACATCCAGGGTTACAGTGGAATTGGAAATCGCTACTTCTTAATTTCAGCACATTTGATGGAAATATATATCCCTTGGTAATAGAGGCCCCAAGAGTTTCAAAATTTGCTGCTTGTGTTAGTGATTTGAAAATACGTATTGTTTGGGCAACTTTTTTTAAGTCGGATATTTTTTTCAAGTTCAAGATGCTCTTTATTCAAATCGTTTTTATGACTACTAACTAATTGATATTAGGCTGTTAACCTAGCTATTGGATATGACTGTTTGATCGAACAATTTAAAAATAAAAATTTTATTTCTTTTTAAGCTGATATCCATAACGAGTATTAATTTTTTGGGGTGAGTAAATTTTGTTTTCGTGTGTTACATGTGTCTAAATTATTAAGAATTTACTGTGTTTTCAAATTTATGAAAATTGTTGCAATTTTTTTTTTTTGTGAAATTTGAAACAAGTTTATTTTTGTCAAGGACAACTAGCAATAAAATTCTCATTTGAAATTAGTTTTAATGAAAGTTTTAAATATTACAAATCAATAAATAGTGAGCAATATTTTAATAGTTGTTTTGCACGCTTTAAATCGTAAATCAATGACAACGATCAGAAAATACAGTTTTGTGCTTGAAAAAAATTATGTTATTGATAAATGGTAACTGGTTATACTTTCCATTTCACATATCTTTTCATTTCTCATTGTTGATGTATATAATATTCGTATTGTTTATATAATCTAACATTTTTTTATATCAAAATTATTTTAAAAAGGAAGATGTTTATTGTTGTTTCAAAATTGAAGTCTGTTATATCTATTCAGTTAATGCATTTTCACTTAAATTAAAATCTATTTCCAACCTACCTGTGATATATTTGCATTTAATTCAAATGGTTTTTGATCAATTTTTATTCAAGATAATAATAATAAAAAATTAGACTCCTTAAATATAGAAGTATGGCATATGGAGAGGGTTTTTCAATTAAAATATATGATTGCATTTTATAGTAAAATTCAAATGAAGTAAATATTAAGTTTTAATGTTTCAGGGACATAAAATTATTACGTATTCAATTATTTACGACCAAAATTTTTGATTACTGGTTTTACAGAATAAACTATGTTGGGTGTTCTGCAATCATCATCCTTAAAGTTTATCTTTTAATCTTATATCAAACTAATATTTAAAAGATTAGTAAAAAAATTAAATCGTCATAAAAATTAACAGCTTATACATAATAAAAGACACAAAAGAATAATTGAAAAGAAATTAACAATTATATTTGCTTGCTTTACCTGGCAATGTTAATACAATGTTAGAAAACACTCAAATTTGCGAATATAATCGTGAATGCTGATGACGAGGTTAATTTTTTATGTTATTTGTTTTCTTCTGTCTTTTAATTGTATTTTTATTTTTTTAATATTTTTAAATTTCTTAATATTTTTTTCTTTATATATATATATACACCGAAGAGCCATTACATTGGGGACTAGACATGACTTGAAAGTCACTGGAATGTTCCTCGAACCAATCCATGACGATTCAACCCTTTAGACATGGTGCATTATCCTGTTGGTAAACACCATCATCCGCAGGAAAAACTGTTGCCATGAATGGGTGAACCTGGTCTGCAACTATGTTCAAGTAGCTTACAGACGTTAGGGATTGTTCTATGAGGATTATGGGTCCTAATGTGCCCCATAAAAAATTGTTCCTGGGCGAGAAACCATGAAAACCTAGGCGAGCCCATTGTTATAGATGGAGGGTGGTCATAATGTAATGGCTCTTCGGTGTATATATATATATATATATATATATATATAAATCAAACATGAATTAAATCCTAATTCATGATTTTGAATTCATTTCCAATTTAACATCCATGTTTTACCATGATAGGATAAAACCATTTAAAGTATCGATAGTATGATAATTAATCTACTTTACATAAGCTCATTAAAGAAATTTCCCTTTATATATCCCACTTAGCTGGACTAAACAATTAGAGGTCTCTCTTAGTAAGCCTATTAAGCGATGCATTGAAATTTCATACTTATGATCCAAATGTGTTTCATATCACTGGAAAATAAGGCCATCTGCAACAGCTCCAGAGCAAGATTAAATGGATATCAGTCTACGACAGTTGGACAACATCCTAAGTCCATCAAAGTAAGGAAGCTTTCAAAATTGCATTTCAAGTTTAGGGGGAGGATTATTTAATTATAATGTTAGCCCTAACGAATAAATTACCATTTCAAACGCCATGGAGCTAACAGATTAATTCACGGAGCACATTTCTGAGTTAAATGGCTTTCTCATTGACTTCGGGGGTTGATACTCATCACAAAGTCACTGAAGGCTCATTTGCATCTTAATATTTTTCTTACGGATTTACACGCTTTCGTTCGTTTAGCATTCGTTCGTCATATTTCAACGCTCAAACAAATTAACATGAAATTCCATTTCGATGGTTCAGAAACTTTAAAAGTATTTTTTAATTTTGCTGTCGTGTCATACATTTAGGAATTTTTCAAATAAATTGTTTTTAAAGTTGACTAAGGAAACCTTACAATACCCAAAGAAATTTAGTATTAGTTTTTATTTAAAAATGATCTAGATTGCTATAAATTTTCTGGGGTTGAATTGATTTATGCCGGAGGAAAAGTTCCACTTTTCGCAGTTTCCCATTTTATTCAAATGTACATATTTATTAAATATTAAGATTTATAATATTCGGTATTAAAGATATTAATATGAAATATTAGGATTTATAATTTAAGATATTAAATATTCCTATGTAACATGGCAAGAAAGTTTAATAAAAGAAAAAATATGTCTTTTTTTTTCTACATTTATATTAGCAAATATATCATTTTCTTTTGTACAGCGTCTGTTTAAAAAACAATATTTTTAATTTTTATTTTTATTCGTTTCTTTGAACAAAAACAAAGTACTTTGTTTCAGTACAGAAAGTTTACTCGGTACATATACACATAGTAGAAGTCCTTAAAACGACCTAAACTCAAAACGTAATGATCAGCGTTTCCGACAACGTAGATAGAATAAATTTTAAGAAGCTGATATAAGTTTAGTACGAAGATGTGCTTAGCATATTTCATTTTAGATTTTGCAAAATAAAACCTTTTTCTTTTTATTGAAAAACATACCTCTTAATTTTTTCTTTTTCTTTTTTTTGTAATAAAACGAAGTATTTTTTTGAAATACAGAAAATTTACTCGCTACTTATACAAATGTCAGGTCGTTTTTAAGTTTTAAAAATGACCTGAAATCAAAACGTAATGATCAGCGTTTCCGACAGCGTGGGAGAAATTTTCAGAGGTGATATAAGCTTAGTACGAAGGTGATGCGCTGTGTCTATTTAGTTGTAGAATTTTTAGGTTTGGCAAAATAAAATTTTATTTTTTGTCCTCTTAAAAAGCATACTTTTCTATTTTAATGTTTTCCTCTTTTTCATAAAAAAAATGAAGCGTTTTGTTGGAGTACAGAAAATTTAATCGCTACCAATACCAAGAATCTTAAATATGACCTAAAACGAAAAAAAAAATTATGATCAGCATTTTCGAAATGACGTGATATAAGTTTAGTACGTAGATGATGCCCTATATCATTTTTGTTTAGTAAACTAAAATCAGTTTTTTCTTTTTAATTCTTTTGAAAAACATAATTATTAATTTCCTTATTTTAATATTTTTTGTTTTGTTCGTATAAAAAACACGCATTTTGCAGAAGTACAGAAACTAAATATCATTCTTAAAATAATGTAAAGCAGAGTTCAGTCATTCTGAATGTTTGTAAAAACAACTGAAATTTCGGCTTACTATTAAAAAACATAAACATTTTTTTGTAATTTTTATAAACAGCGCAATAGTAAACTTGAAGAACTAGCATTCAAATTCACGTAGATTTTGCAGCTGACCGGAATTTCTTTTCCTGAAAAGATTTCAAATCAAGAAATGATTTTTAGCAACTGTATATTTTCTAAAAAGTTGCATAATTTTATTCACATATTTTCTTAAAATCTACATTTATAAAAAGATTGAAAGAAAATTTCGAAATCTAGCTCGAAATTTAAATTTCGTCTGTCATTTCAATTTTCTGTTACGCCAAAAGGTTTTATATTTTTACAATAGACTCACATTTATTTTGAAAAAAAAAGAAGGAAAATTTTTTAACTTCAAAGTTGAGTTGCGCATATTTCATTTTTATGATTTGAATGTATGTTGTTGCTGTAAAAATATCGTTTCTCCTAAATCGATTTGACGTTCAAAAATGTATCGAAAGGAGATTTTTGAGTTTTCATATGTTTAGATTTTCGCTTTCTTTCTATAAAACATTTTGTAATAACGAGTCAGGAGTTTTTTTTTTAAATTTTTTAAACATATTTTATAGTAGGAACAATAAGAAATAACAATTAATGGAGAAAAAAATACTCATATCACATATTTTGAATTATTTCTAAACAAAAATAATCAGCATTACATATATTGCCTAACTATATATTACTTTACCTTACCCTAATATTAATTATTTAACTTAATATATATTATCATTTAAGGCAAAATTTAGTCTAATAAATATACAAAATATAAAGCAAAATTTAGACAAAAAAATAAGGCAAAGTTTTGTAGAAATTACACAGATTTGCCTGGGTGAGAAATGAAACAATTTTCGTCATATTAACGGATTACCCTAGATAATTACGTTAACCCCTTAACGCCCTTTAACACTTGCGTTTATGTAGATGTTTTTTTCTGATACTCTAATTACAAGCAAAACTATATTTTACTATTTTAACTGTGAAAAAACTAACTCTTGTTACTAAAAATTACGCTATTATCGGAATTATATTTGTATTAAAATTGAAATTCAAAAAAAAGTAGTTCGAATATTTTTTTCATTCATATTCAAAAAATAATCGATCATTGATCATTAATAATTGATTTTGAAAATTGCGGAAATTTTAATGATGAATAACAATTTCTCTTGGATCTAAATAACGACAAATAAGTACAAATGTGAAAAATTATTTCTTGGAATTGAGCCGTGTTTGGCAGATTTTACTTTTAACGCAGAAAAATATATCAGTGTTCCTTACTGTATTTTATAACCACATACTTTTATGATACTAAATATCATTTTTTTCTCTTAATTTGGCCTAAACTAACACAAAATAATGAAAAAACGTGCTTAGTGAAAATTCTGCGTCAAAGAGGTGTGGATGGCGGACTAAATGATAGGCAAAAACATTTTCCAAATGTAGGAATATTTAAATATGAATCGCAATCAAGATGGCTTGAAATGCAACAGAACGCAGTGTATATTCCTAATACCATATACGTATTTCACGTACAGTGAAACCTTCAGGAAAGACCATCTCTATGCAGCAACCATCTCTTTTTAAGACCATTTTTGGGAGGCACGGAGTTTTTTCCATAGACTTAGAGTTGAAGGAAAGATAATTTAAAACCTCTCCCAGCTAGCGGGAAAACATCTGCACCAAATGCTGAAAATGTCAAATAAGGAAACTAGAAGGTTTTTCCTGGAGGATTCCCCGCATTTTTAATTTATTAGTAAAGTAAGCCAGTAATTTTTTTGAAAGAATAAAATATCCTACTGTTGCCTTTACGCATGTGCAATGTCCACCACTCAGTTGAAAATCACATTTTCACTGGTCCCTGTACCGTACCAGAAGGACCTCATTTTTCATGAGTGATGGCGAAATAATGTTGAAATAATGTCGTTTTAGAAGAATTTAATGTAGCAAATGTATGCAAAAGGTAATTAGTTATAGCAAAGTCAAAATATCTCAGTTTCAGTCATTTTCAAGATTATTATATTAGTTTCGCAACTTTTCCTTACTCAATTTGGAGCGAATTTTTAAAGTATTAAAAAAAGACATTAGAATATTCGAATAAATTAATCACAGAATTTAATTTATAAAAAGATCATTTTTAAAAAAAGAAAACCATGAATAAAATTTGCTATAAACAAATTGCTGAATTAACAGCATTATTTAGTAACAAAATAAATAGGGAATTACGAAAGAAAAAACTGTAAATAATCAAAATATTCTAGAGAGAGAAAAAAAAATTCAAAATGCAGAAATGAAAAGAATCGAGAAAATAATAACTAAGTTATCCCGTTTGGCGCAAAACAAGAGTTGTGGCGCAAAAATTATTGATAGTATGGTGAAAGATAAAAACAAATCCTACAGTGTCAGCAGGCGCTAAGCCTTGAGGCTGTGATAGAAAGCTTGGCGGAATCCGACCATGATATATCTGAGAACTTTGCCAAAAGTTACTTTCTTCCGTCACTTTTTGTCCGAGAGAAAACAGAAGTATGGCAAATGCTTCCTTTTACCAATACAATTTGTTTGCGACCGTAACGGTATTGTGTCCTTGTGGTACCAGCATTCCGTGCCTAGACAAAAGAATTAAATAAACGAGAATTCTATTATACTACGTAAAGAAAGTGCCGAAGAAATCTTTCTATGAATTGGATACTATTTAGTTTTTTTTTGTTTTGTTTTGTTTTTGTTTTTTATAGGTTGGAGAGACTAAAATAAATAAGGGGTTTAGTTTATGGCTATGCAAACTTTTAAATGTTTAGTATAGAAGTCAGAAATAAATGTTCTAATTTCTTTTAGTATAAACAAAATCAAAAAATCAACAAACTCAAAACATTAATCAAAATTTATATTTATTTTGTAATAATTACAAGTGTGTTGTTAAATTAATAATTTGAAAATTATAGTTTAAAAAAATTACCTTATGAAAAGAAACATTTTATAAAATATAACTTTTAACATAATATAAAACAAAACATAACATAACTTTTTGATTAATTGTTTGCACAGTATGCAAAGAAGTACCACCCTAGATATCTTTACGTTTTAGGACTCAATCTTAATTTTTTTTATTAATTGTTTGCACAGTGCGCAAAAAAGTGCCACCCTAAATATTTTCACGTTTTAGGACTCAATCTTAATGGTTCTTTTTGATGAATTGCTTTCACAGGACCCAAAAGAGTACCACCTTAGATACCTTCACGTTCTAGGACTCAATCTTAATGGCTCGAATGGATGATTTCAAATCTGTTACTTGCAGATGATATATGAGCAGATGATATTTTAAGTTATAAAATCTGACCCAAAAATGTACTTTCTCTGAATGCAATAACATATCTTGTTATTGTATTCAAGATATGTTTATACAAGAAATGTAATAAATTTACGTTTCTTGTACAAACATATCTTGTTTTCAACGGATTCAAATTTTTGACCCACTGAAATAGCCAAAATGTAAGAAATATGGTCCCAATAGTTTGGTTAGGAACGCGGTTGAAAGTTTGGACCCGGTAATGTTAATTTTTCTTTTCGTGTATTCCACCACATCGAGAGCTAGTCAAGCGAATTGAAACATTTTTGTACACATTTATAAAATATATCTTTTAGTAAGTATTGATTGTAAGATATAAAATTTTTTACATAATTTTAAAGAATGCTATTTTAAGTGGTAAAATACAAAATTAGAGTGGAATGTCTGAAATAGTTGAGAAATCGAATCTTAAAAAAATAGGATTTCTGTATTTTTCTTGTAATCGTATTATGGTATTAAACTTAAAATCAGTGGTCACAAAAACTGCATTTTCTTTGTAGTTTACAACTGCAACTACTTTTTTTTAAATGTAGCGATTACAAAGTAATAACTACTTTCGAAAAGTAGTTATTACTTTGCTACGTTTAGAAGACGAAGTCAAATGCAGAACTTAATTTTCACCAATATTCAAATTGGTTTTGACTAGAAAATTGGCTTGGTTAAGGAGATATTAAGAAAATTTAATTCATGTATACATGAAATAGTTTTTTTATTCTAAAGCACTTTTTACGAATTTGTTCTTTTAACTTTCAAACTCTATGCTTTTCTCAATAGTGATTTAAGAAGTGCAGGGAATTATCAGATATATGTAATTTAAGCGAGCAATGCTTTTTTATACCCTACAAGGAATAAAATACAGTGCGAAAAACAGAAAAATGAACCACCCTAAATAACTTTTGATCTAATGATCGGATCTTCACGTTCTAGGACTCAATGGTTTGAGAGGGTGACTTCAAATATGCTAATTAGTTAATGCAGACGATATTTTAAGTTACGAAATCAGACACAAAAACGTACTTTAAGGTTCCTGTGAAATCGAATTAAAAAAAGTCAGATATTAAAAATTCGATTCCTCGGGAACAACTCGACCGACTTCGCACCGATTTTTCCAATCATCAGACTTAAATCTTATAAACGCTCCCGCCGCAGTGGCACTCTCATTGCGTACGTTGACGGGTGAGGAAAGGATTTGCAATAATCAGATTCAAAAATGTTTTGTATGTTTGGACATTGTTTTTTTTTATTTAACTAACGTTAAAAGTAATTGCCTGGAATCGCTGCAAACAACTGTTTTTTATCTCGCGCTTATTTTAAAAAATAGCGCACTGCACTGCGAAAAACGGAAAAAGTAGCTATTATAGTAGTATCGCTACTTCCGATCACTGCTTAAAACATTAATGAACAATGTTTCATGAGTTTTTAATTTAGGTTATAATTTGTTCAATAGCTTTACAATTGTAATTGGTATTTTTCTGCAGGATTTCTTTTGTGATGCTGTTATCTGAATATGAACTTGCTCCAGTTTCCACTCATGCCTGGAATCGATAGCTTTTAGCATATCCTAGCGGAGGTTTGACTTCTTCGGATTAACCACGACCCTGGAAATTTTTCGTGGTGGGCTATTTCTGCGCGTCAGACTCAGTTTATAGTACCGTTTGTTTAGCAAATCTTGAATAATACTTCGGATTTTATTTAATCATATTAATTTGTATTGATTTAAACTCTATTCTAAGCTCTAATAAATGCATTTTTGCCACAATTTAGTCGTTGTTCTAGATGAAATGAAATGGTTTGGCTCGCTCACCTTGCCCTAATTGGACATTTTACTCAAAACTTGAGTTCAATTAGTTCCATAACAATGCTTAATTACAGTTAACGTGTGCACATTCTACCTCAAAACATGCTGATAAATGGGTAATTTTCAATAAAGCAAACAAGTTCTCATTAGGGACAAAATAAGTTAATATAATAGTAATTTTAAAAAAAAAATGAAAAGAGACACCTGAAATATTTCTAGAGTTTCTTTTTTTGAAATTATTCAAAACACTTTTAACTATTACATAATAAATTTCATTCAAAAGTTTTATGATCCATCTCACCTCATATCACATAATTTCAAAAACTCCCTTCAGAATAATTCTTTTGACGAAATTGATTAATGAGGCACAAGAATTAATAAAAACTGACAAAATAAAAGACGTCATAAATCAATAACCTTCATCATGAATTGAGTAAACTTAAGATTAACGCTTTTCAACGAGTACTAAAGTTGAATAGATTTGACTACTACTCTTATTCTATTAAAAGGTTTCCACATTAGCACTGTATCAATATGCATTTTTTTTTCTTTTGAGAAGTGCTTGTACTTGGCGAAATAATTAAATAAAGCTGATTCTTTGTATAACCCTAGGCGACCATTTATTACCAAGAAGAATGTTGGATGATTTGAAAAGAATTATTGACTTATTTGATTATTTCTTTTTCATTTTTATCAATGGGTGATTATTTTATCCCAAATTGTCCACCGAAATGAATAATTAAGGATCTGAATCTGTATTTTTATCTTCACGAAAAGAATTACTTATTAAAAGAGACTTTGACTTTTTATGTAAAATATATCAACAGTAAAAACTTTCACCTTCTTTAAGACTGTAAGAACGTAATGTCAGCACCCTTGAATATCTTTTGATGTAATAATCGGACTCTCACTTTGTAGAACTCAATCTTCTGGGATCTTATTTTAATCACACTAATTGTCCCGCAGTGGACTGATCGTTAAGACACGGTTCCCAGCAGATCAACCGAAGTCAGCGTCACTGATTGCGGTCAGTGTGCGGGTGTTTGACCACTTGGATCAGTCTGCGTAGGGACCGAGGGTGTGCGGTATTGGTCCCCGTTAAACGTAAGTAAAGTGCTCGACTTCGCGTGCAGGTCGTCGGGCTACCGAAGTGGGGGTGCCATCCCCTCAGCAGAGGATCAAAATTGTGATGGCATGTCTTCGAATCATCCTCAGGGATGTTTCCCAGACCGTCGCCAATAGCCCATTGTGCAGCTCTAGTGCGACGTAAATGAACACATCAAATCAAATTAATCACACTAATTAATTTAGTGCAGAGGATACTTTAAATTGTAAATTACGAAATCAGGTTTTAAAAAAAAGAGCGCTTTCTTTGAATTGACATACATTTTATTCGAAGGTTTTAAATTTTTGAAACTCTAAATAGAAGGGGTAGCTGCAATCTGGAAAATCCACAATCACTTAATCGGGAGAGAGATTTGGCCTCTTTATTTTAATATCACTTTGTTTTCGCACGATTCGTTTATAATTTGAAGGTAGTCTTACGAAAGTTTAAACATAATAATCTGAAAATCATTAATTTGCGATTTGGTTGATGTGATTGCAAATTGCGCAATCTTATTTTTTAATCCTAATAGCTAAAATAGCTGTCAGACTATGAATTTCAAAGAACAAGGTTCGAGTAAGAAGAACGGTGAGTCAGAGATCACGAGTTTGAAAAAGGATGATAAATATGCTTGTATATATATGACAAAGCGAGATTAAATTTGGTGATTTTCATGGTTGTATAGATTGAACTTAGTTACCTCATGTTATGGAGAATAGACTACTCTCGAGGATTGTTTTCTTTCATGAAGTTTAGGTTAAGGTATAATATTCCTTGCCTAATAAAAATTCTTGTTAGTTCAAAGATATCATTTTCATTGCGCTTGCTTAGCATTTCCACAACGCACTAAGCTCTGCCAGCAATAGCCATATGTTTTCATTATGTTCTTTTTTCAGTGATGAAAAATAGAAATGTTAACATGGACATGACCTTTAAAAAATAAAATGTCTATTTAAGACAATAGTAAGGAATAATTGCTCTTATCTTAACATGCGCATAGAACGAAAATGATACTATCCACTAGTTTGTAATATACAATTTTAAAGCGTTAAAAAATAATGCTTCATAAACTAAAGCCATAAAAAGTGTAAAAGCCATATCAAATAGTCATATGTTTTAAATTTTTTTTTACAGTGATGAAAAATAGAAATGTTAACATGGACATAGATTTTTAAAAAAACAGAATGTCTATTTAAGACAATATTGAGGAATAATTTTTCTTATCTTTGAATGCACATAAAATGAAAATGATACTATCTATTAGTTTATAACATGCACTTTTATTAAACTTTAAAAAATAATGCTTCATAAACAGAAACTTTGGAAAACAGAAATTCATCAAATATTATTTGCCGTAATGAAAAAGGGAACGAAAAGTAGCAAAAGTATTCTCACGTGACTTGCTATAAACGAATTTATCTTTTCTTATGTGAAACGTTCTGTTACCGAAAAACTGCGTAACCCTGTGACTCTCACAATGATGAAATGTTGTTAGAGTTGATTTATGGCAGTTACAGTTTTTTTTTATATGAAAAAAGAGGTTAACACTTTCTTTCTTTTTATCAGAGTGTTATTTCGATGTCTTTAAAGATGACAATTTCTAATAAATTATTTTGCTTCAATCTGCATATCAGTTATACTGTAACGAGTCATACTGTAGGAGTTATACTGTATACTCTTGTATGGCAATGTTTTTACCATATTCTGCCAAAGCAGCCAAATAACCAGAAAAAAGTCGATATTCAAAACTCTGAGAAAGATCGTTTATTGACTGTTTTCACTCAATACAGTTAAATAACCAGAATTTTATTTGCGTCAACTAGACCCACATCCAATGAGAATGGGACTTGTGTTCTTTGAAAGCTTTAAACTAAGACTTGTGATAAGGATTACGAGTTTATATATAATTTCCCAGCATCGGGTACCAAGCTTAACATATACCTAATAATGAAATGTGTGGTGAACACCTTACGGGTGATATAGCTTAAGGGTACAGAGATAAATATGTGGATACATCTTTTAGCCAAGAGGGGTAATCTGTCAATCTCATGACTGGTTGAATGGGCGTGGTAACCCTAGCTTTGATGTCAGAATATTCTCTCAATTCATTCAACACGCGAGAAGGCTTTAGTATTCTGAGCTTCTTAATTAATCATTGACATTTGGAATACGGAACTATCGTTCACACATGGATGGCAGCACCACAGAGCTGCTTAACACTTGCCATGTGATAAGAATTACGAATTCGTATTTTTATTTCCGTCATCGGATATCTAACACAGCAGCGGATGCCTATCATTTTACAGTTATAAGTCTGTGAGGAATGTCTCATGAAGCTACTTGGTTCTTTGCAGCTAGTTATGTACTTTAGCCGAGAGGTCATATCTGTCACTCTCATTACCAGCTGAACGGGGGTTCGAGTCCTAGTATTTTTATGACATTAATTTCTCCATTCTTTTAAGTTTCCATGGTCCTGAATTCCTCAATTGGTGACCCAGGACTACTGGAATATGAACATATTCACGAATAGACTGCTGGCCACAAAAATAAGTTTAGTGTCTCATCTCTCACGAAAGATGGCCCCTCTTTGTAAACTAATTAAGCCACACGTTTTAGCTCACTTGGAAAACCACAATTCAACCACAACCTAGATCCAATGTCCAATACTTAAGGAAAAACTCAATATAACCTAAATTCAACGTTGAAATCATAGTAGCTGTAAATGAATGCAAAACCTTATTGCTTTGTATTCATTTAGCTATCAATCACAACTATCTATCATAAGTTTTGGAATGGAACTTTCTTTAGTGAAACAGTGTTTTTTGTATGCTACAAACATGCTCCAATAGTGGTGTACATTTTCTTTCAAAAAAATGAATAGCTTTCAAACTTTCTAGATCCGTTGGTATATTTCGCGAGGGGATACTAAAGCTTAGAGATACTAGAACATCTCTAGAACATAACATACTAGAAGATAACGGAACTGAATGAGGTTAAATGCACACATTTGAGTCAAATTAAAAGCTTTAAAGAAAAAGCATGGTAAGAAATTTCATAGTCCTCTGTGCGTGCACTAGGCTTAAAAAAATTTAAAGGTTGCAAAAATTTTGAAAGGGGAAAATGCTAGCATACTTTCTAAAATTGTTCATACATAACGTCATTTGTTTTATTGTAAATAAAATCAAGTTCCGTAGTGGGCAGATCGCGAAGACACGGTTCTCAGTAAAACACTGAAGTCAAGCATCACTCTCTGCGGTCAGTAAGCGGGTGGGTGACCACTTTGATCAGACTGCAAAGGGACCGAGGGCGCGCGGTATCGGTTCTCGTTAAACTGTTCTATCGTAAAGTGCTCGACTTCGAGCGCTGGTCATCGGGCACTCAAGGCAGGGAAGTTCTCCCCTCAGCAGAGAATCAAAATTGCAATGGCATGTTTTCGGATCATTCTCAGACATGTTTCCCAGGCCATCGCCAATAGCCCATTGTGCATCTCTAGTGTGGCGTAAATAAAGTACCCACCTCAATAAAATCAAAACACGAAGTCTCAGGTTTTATTTGAAACTGCATGAAGAGAGGCAGTGATCTTATAATTCGGCTACTGCGATAGTTCAAGCATTTTCATAAAAGGCTAGCTTCTGTTTGCAATAAGTTTTGTTATAAGGGGTATTCTTAAACTACCATCCTTCTAAAATATAATGTAATAAAATGCTTAAATGAAAAAAATCTAAGCGTTTTCATACTCTGAAGAAACAAAATTGAAATGTAGTACAAATAAGAGTTTACATTTGGAAACGAGTTTATCTATTTTGCGAAATCAAAACAAAAAAATTGTTTTTGATTATTTACGTG